ATATAATATATATATTCACACAGTACAAAAAGTACTTTTAAATGTTAACTTTACACAACGTAGCAGCTACTTTTCTTAATTTTGATCATTTACTGGATAATTAAAGCATATAATAAAAGGAACACTATTATAGGGATATTTTATAATTGCTGGGATATTACCTTTTATTCTGTAGAAACTGTTTTTCTGCACAATGAAGCTACCACTCTGTATGATGGCTGAAACTGCATCTCAGCCTCTCCTCCATGAGATACAATGGACTGTATATATAACCAGAGTCTATTGAAACGAGTCCAACTTAGGCTCTAGGTAAAGGTAATTCACCCAGCCTTTTAACGACTTCATATATTTCACCAAAAACCCACATTCCTTGACACAACCCAGCAAGTGAAAATCCGGTATCAGCATCAGAATATCAAAATTAATGTTGCAGAAACCTTATTACAAGGTATTTACAACTTTATAGAGATGGTGTAGCAACACAATCAAACGTTCTCAATGATTGGTGTCTCTCACAGTAACGGTCTGACATTATGAACTAAATGACCAGTTGATTACTCAATGATTCCTAAAATAACCCTTTGGTTGTTTTGTGCTGTTTCATTTTTTTATATAAAGGTGGCGAGGAGTGCTTTGAAGTGGATCGTCGTTCTGGTGTGATTCGAACCACCGAACGCCCTCTAACCCCAAGTAAGGAGTACCTGCTGCGGGTCCAGGCTGTAGATGGACGGGGCCGCAAAGGCCCACCTGCCATTGTTTCCATCCTCACTGGATACCGACCACCGCAATTCACTAACTCCACCTACAGCCTGAATGTGCCGGAAAACTCACCTGTTGGCCAACCGTAAGTCCCAACAGCAGCCTAATCTGTTGTTCTGGCTTGTTTGATTTTAGAGAAGTTTCATCTGATAGCAATTCTAAACATTTGACTTAATTCAACATTGATTATCCCCTCAAGTATATAAAAAGAATAAAACAAATCATTTTACTTACAGTCACCAATAAAAGAAGAAACAAAGGTGAAACGGTTCAGAATGATGTGCATCACTTACAGGCTACAGCTTAAAGTGAGATCATAGTAAAATTAAATAGGACGATTAAATCAGGCATGACTAAGTCTTAAATACAATTTCTTTTTCGTAAGACAATGTCAAGATATATCAGTAAAAAGTTTTTGGGGGAGAAAAACTGGTGAATAGTACATGCAGAATTATTGTTGTCCAAAGTGTTTTTTTAAACAAAGTTTCTGTTTAACCTTCACACTTTGCATAAAATTCATGTAAATTTCACTGCCCTTAAGACTGAGCGTGACAATGGCATTTACGCACTTGTGTGTGTGTGTGTGTGTGTGTGTGTGTTTGTGCGTTTCCACGGCCAGCTCTTTGGTTTGCATGTCATGTGACGCATGAAAAGATGAGCCCTGAAGAGCAAGACAAAAGAAAAGAGGAAGGGGAAGGGGGAAGGGGAAATAGAAGAATGATGGCATAAAGGAGGAAGATGACAGAAGGGTAGAAGATAGAGGGATGAGGAAGAGAAGAAGGGGAGGGCTGGCTGGATGAAGAGGACCCAGATGTGTGAGTGCGGCCTGAGGCTGGGAATTTGAAAGTGTGGTAAATTCAAATATTTATTAAAAGTGAGTTCTGGATAAACATGAAGGGGAGTTTGTGTGTGTGTGTTGGGTCCCTTGGGGCTGCTGGCGCAAAGCACATTGTATTAATATCCAAGTATCCATGCCACCCTGTGAGCAGTCTGTGGCTCTATCCAACGATGCAATTTGTGTGTCTCTTTGCTACCGTTATGTCACTTCTGTGTGTTTTTATGTCGTCGCGTGTATCTCAGTGCGTCTGTGTGTGTTTTAATCAAACTGATTAACCAGGTTAAGATTGTTTTTAAGCTCAGAATAATCCACAAATGCTGCAGGCTTCATGCGCAAGACTGGAGCTCAACCAGTACATCACAGCTCCTCTTCATACCAACAGTCTGTTTGGAAACATACATGTAGAGCAGCTTTTCTCTGACCTGTAGTTATGTTTACACTTTAAGCCACAGACAAGCCAAATTTATTTATGGAGCAAATTTTACACATAAAGAAATTCAAAGTGCTTCATCTGGTCTTAAATGACTGGGAACAGCAGAACTAATGCGACTACTTGAAATGAGTGAGCACGTCTGCAGTTGGAAGTCACAAACATTTAAACACACAAGAGATAAAATATAAATATAGTTTATGTAATTCATTCACAACAGTATTCATGAAGTATGTTAAACTGGTACAGGACATGTATGAGGACAGCAGGACAGTGGTGAGATGTGCTCTAGGACTGATGGATAGCTTCAAGGTATAGGTTGGAGTGCATCAAGGATCAGCTCCGAGCCCCTTCTTGTTTGCTCTGGTGATGGACTGACTAACAGATGAGGTCAGGCAGGAATCCCCGTGGACTATGATGTTTGCAGGTGACGTGATCTGTGGTGAGAGCTGGGAACAGGTGGAAGAGAACTTGGAGAGGTGGAGATATGCACTTGAAAGAAGAGGAATGAAAGTCAGCCGTAGTAAGACAGAGTGCATGTGTGTGAATGAGAGGGAGACAGGTGGAACAGTGAGGCTACAAGGAGCAGAGGTCACGGTGCAGGACTTCAAGTACTTGGGATCCACTGTCCAGGAACACGGGGAGTGTGGTAAAGAGATGAAGAAAAGTCCAGGCAGGATGGAGTGGATGGAGAAAAGTTTCAGGAGTGATTTGTGACAAAAATGTGACAGCAAAGGTCAAAGGAAAAGTTTACAAGACAGTGGTGAGACCAGCTGTGTTGTATGGTCTGGAGACAGTGACATTGACAAAAAGACAGAAGAAAGAACTGGAAGTAGCAGAAATTAAGATGCTGAGGTTCTCCTTAGGAGTGACAAGGATGGATAAGATTAGGAATGAGATCATAAGAGGTACAACACAGGTTGAACAACTGGGAGATAACGTTAGAGAGGCCAGACTGAGATGGTTTGGACATGTCCAGAGGAGGGACAGTGGGTATATTGGTAGAAGGATGTTAGAAATGCAGCTGCCAGGAAAAAGTCAAAGAGGAGATATATGGATGCAGTTAGAGAGGACATGGAGGTAGTTGGAGTGAGGACAGAGGATGCAGAGGACAGAGATCGAGGAGGATGACTCGATGTGGAGACACCTGAAGAGGGAAAAGTTGAAAGAAGAAGAAATAATTAATAACAGTATTACGGTAAAATGTCTCATACCTGCATTTTGTTTAAATAAAACCAAACTTCAGAAAGAAAAATATAAAACAGAACGCATGTTTAAATTCTAAATAGAGAAAGAAGGGGAAGGAAGAAACAACCGCTTGCAAACATTTGAAATGGTCCAATTTTTTCTAACTTTAACGGATGTTACTGTAGTTAACAGTTCAATCTAGATAACTGCTTCAGTAACTGTTTAGTTTCAGTTTTGCAGATGCAGTGGATATGAACTGATGGTTTCTACCACCCACGATTTAGTAGGAACCAAAGTAACATTAATAATAATCTGAGAAGTTAATATTAGCACTGTTTATGTGTTTCATTTTAGGGTTCTTTTGCGACATATGATCCTGAAATCACATGTAAGAAACTTACAACTAAGAAATACAATTTTAGTTTAGATGTAAAAGAAAAACTTATGGACTTTTTTTTTTTTTTACAAATCCAAGGGTCAATTACGAATGAATGATGCAATAAAAAGTTGCACTTTGTTTCCAAGTTGTGGATTCATTGACTCGTCCGTGTTTGTTCAATAAAGTTTTTTAGAGACGTATAAGAGTGAAAGTTTTCACTGTCTTCACATAGAGTTTTACTTCAGAGACTGAAGTTTAGCGTTTAGCACAAGTCTATTTTAATTTTTTAATGTTCTGTTTAATGTTAGCCAGGTCGTGACAACAAAAGAGGCTTGTGAAGGTTATTATATTGTTGGCTATTGTTTGTTGACAATGCAGCAGTTTAATTATTTGTTCAGATTGTGTCGAATGATAATTACAGTCACAAATTGGCATTGTACAAAGTGAACAAGCCCAAAATAAATCTCATAAAATACAGTCCAATTTATCCCATTTAATTACAGCCAACCTTTGTCTAATCAGATGATTTAGATTCAGAATTCAGATTTTTTTTTGTGTGACCCAAATTCAGTGTATGAAGAAGAATAAAATTTCAGGTTGTAAAGAAAAATATGTCTAGCCTAGAACGACGTAGAATTACATCAGATCTTCATTACAATTTAGTGTCTGTCATGAGTATCCAGAAGGGAGTCCTCCAGCAGAAGCAGATTCAGGGAAAGAAAGGTGGACTTCCAGTAGAACATACCACTAATAAAACATTATTGTTTGTGTCTCTAACTTTTTTTTTTTTGGGGGGGGGGCTCTTTTGTTTGTTATGTTGTGCTCAGAGTTGCTGTGGTCCAGGCCATCTCCTTCCAGAAGCAGAGTCTGTCCTACATGCTGCTGATAAACCCTGGAAATCTGTTCAGCATCAACCAAGAGAGCGGTGCACTCAGCCTCACAAGAACCGTAGACTTCGAGAGCAGTCACAACCTCCACAATCTGCAGGTCCGGGCCTCTGAAACGGACACAGGCCTGAGCGGTGTGGCAGAGGTACAACACCAAACACATGCTAACACATTCTCAATGTCGTCAGATGTTTTCTCATCATCAACAATTAAAAAATATAATCTTACTGTAGTATTATTTGTATCAGTTTAGTTTGATCTAAACTATCTAAAACTATCTAAAAGAAAGCCTGTTAAATACTCTGACAAGCTCTGGCCATTGTGGGCATGTTTCCAGTCCTGACACAGTTTATCCATCCATCCATTTTCTTTACCAGCCTATTTCTTTCCTTGTCACAAAGCAGCTGAAGCTTATTTCCAGATAGCACAGTACACTCTGGACCTGTCTCCAGTCCATCACAGGGACACAGAGACAAACAACCATTCACTTTCTCACTCACACCTAGGGACAATTTAGAGTTACCAATCAGCCTAACATGCATGTTTGTGGGAGGAAAGCGGAGTACCCAAGAACATGCAAATGCCACAGAGAAACACCACAGCATTGAGGCAAAACTGCAACCTTGTTTTTGTAAGGCAGCAGCGGTGACTACAGCACGGCCACGCTACCCAGAGTTAGACTCATTAATCAATGTTTGTTTTGTTTTCAGTCAAGTTTTTTGCCATGCAAATACTCATTTCTCACTGGAGCGGTTCGCAGCCGAGTGTGAAATGGCTGGGATGAGAATCAGCACCTCGAAATCGGAGGCCATGGTCCTTAGTCAGAAAAGGGTGGATTGCTCTCTTCAGGTTGAGGATGAGGTTCTGCCTCAAGTGGAGGAGTTCAAGTATCGGGGTTTTGTTCACGAATGTGGGAAGAATGGAGCGTGAGAGTGACAGACGGTTTGGTGCAGCATCTGCAGTATTGTGGACTCTGTGCCGATCCGTTGTGGTGAAGAGGGAGCTGAGCTGCAAGGCAAAGCTCTCTGTTTATCGGTCGATCTATGTTCCTACCCTCACCTGTGGACAGAAAGTGACAGAAAGAGTGAAATTGCAGATAAGTGGCGGTTGAAATGAGTTCCCTCCACAGGGTAGCTGGACTCTCCCTTAGAGATAGGGTGAGAAGTTCAGTTATCAGGGAGAGACTCGGAGTAGAACTGCTGCTCCTCCACTTCGAGAGGAGCCAGTTGAGGTGGTTCGGGCATGTTCAACTGGGAAGAGACCCCAGGGAAGACCCAGGACATGCTGGAGAGACTATGTCTCTCAGTTGGTCTGGGAACACCTTGGAATCCTTGCAAGAGCTGGAGGAAGTGGCTGTGGAAAGAAATGTCTGGACCTCCCTGCTCAAGCTGCTGCCCCCCCGACCTGACTTTGGAACAAGTGGAAGAAAATGGATGGATGGATGGATGGATGGATGGATGGATGGATGGATGGATGGATGGATGGATGGATGGATTCATTTCAAGAAAATTATGAAAGAGATTTTGTTAAGCATAAATAAAGCTTGAGTTTAGAGTGAAGGGCATCACGTTTATTAAAAGATTTGTTTTTGTAAAAAATGCAAAGGTTAGCAGCTGTAATATGGGATAAAATTTAAATCCACAAGTGATGTTAGTGACAAGAAAACTTCTCAAAAACCAAACATAATATTGTTTTTTGAGCAGTGCAAATGACGACCGTAACTAATTCACACTTTCTACTTATTGTTGTTTTATAAATATCTGTAAGTATTACAAACTTGACATCAAGGTTCAAGGTTCAAGGAGACTTTATTGTCATTCACATTACATGTGGTGCATGATGTGGAATGTAAGTGTGTACTCACGGTACCAGTTATGCCCAAAAATAGCAAAAATATAACATACAAAAAAAGAAACAGTAAATAGGGATCTAAGATATACACTAAACAATAATAATATAACATAAATAATGTGTATTAAACAGCAACCTGAACAAACTTCTGATTTTTTACTTTGACTTCTAATTTAGAATATGTTTATTATCATAGGCTTTTATATTTTGGGTTTTTGTGATTACATGTGTAGCATTTCTCTTTGCAAAGGAATTAATTTCAAAGTCCTGTAAGTTGAATCTTGCAAAGTTGACCTGTTCTTGTGTACCTTCATGTCTTGACATACCTCTCTCTGTGTTTTAATCTTGTCGACAGCCTCATGCAAGATTACCTAACCTAGTTTATGATTCGTTCAAACGTGTGTGGTTTTCTCTTTAGTGGAAGTTTTGTTTCTTAACTGTGTAGTGGCCCAGTGTAACGTAGAAAATATGTCTGTTCACCTTGCTAAATGATGTAATCATCTGAAGCCCAGAACGTTATCTGAGAAATCTGATCCCAGTATGACCTCAGTGCATCCTGGGTGGATTCACACCAAAGCTGTCCAGTTGCAATCACATTCCCCAGGAGGCGAAATAGTCAGGCGTGAACAAGGCCACAGCGTTGGTGACCTGAGATCACAGCGACAACTGTTAGCCTGTGGATACAGTAGGCTGCTGACTGTGAACTTTGTCGAGATTTATTAGCTCAAATATGCTATACACACAAAGTTTTTTTTTCTTTGATTAAAAAAGAGCTGTAAAAACCCAGTCTTAAGCTATTTATTGAAGCATTTGAGCATACCTTTTGTGGTTCAGCATGTTGTAAATACACAGCACTCAGGTTCAAGGGCTCAAACAGTGCAAACCTCCTGAAAAAGAGCAATCTTTATTTCACAAATGTGACTGGTTGGCTTGGAGAAGTGAGCATTCTAAGAGTTCATTGTATGTGGCTGTCACTGGTGCATTTCTGAGTAAATCAGAAGGTCTGATAGTGCTGTAAGTGGCTTCACAACCACGATAAACAGAATAAATAACCATCAGCACTGAGTATTTTTTAAAACATCTGAAGGTGCTGACCCTTGACTGTTAACTAAGCTGCTCTCTGATGAAAAACTCATTAATGTTAAATGAGGGAAAGTGCCGCCAGTGGATCACATGTGATGCAACCGTGCTGTATGTGCACTCACTGAGCTGGCGTTTAGACTAAAAACATTCAGCCGAGCCTCTTGTGAACTGGTCCTGATGAAAACCCAGTGAAAACTCACTGCCTTTACACGGGCATCAGAAAAATGGCCAAAGCACGTATGTGCATTACAAACTGCTAAGTGCACAAATGTGGCAGCAAAACACTGACTTGTTTTTTTTTTTTGGGCAGAATTTGTAAAGCAAAGAGCTACATATTCACACAGCAGATGCATCCACGCAAACCTTTGAAAATCTCATTATCACCTACTTTCAGTGTCAATGTGGTTTAGACAGCTTCAGACAGGTGCTAAAATACCCACATCCTCCTAAAGGCTGCTGCTGCTCTATAAGCTTGGCTGACTAATTCATTGTAAAGGCCTCACATGTGTGCATTGGTGTGCATATGTGTGTGCATTTGTGTTTAATGAGTCAGTTTACTAAAGGTAATTTATTGTAGTTTTTGTTGCCTCCAGCTTTATATGACATTTAAAAAGCACCAAATTGACGTCAGTCCTTCACAGAGCCATCCAGCATCTTTGCACTGACGTGTTCTTTTAAACTGTTACTGCGAATATAATCATTCCTATAATAACAAAAACAAATGAGAAAACTATTTGCAGATTAAATTATGGGGTATTTTCCACAAAAAGTGATGTTCCAATACATCAGTTAACACATTGAATAACACATTTTAGGCCCCAGCTGTTGATAAATGTATGTTTATTCTGCTAACATACTGAAGGCGTAAAGATAAATCTGTCTACAAGATAACTGTTTAACAAGTTCACAATAACAACTTTATGAGCTGCTGACTCTGTTCCAATCAAAGGTGCAGAACAAAAATTGCACTGTTTTATTTGTGATCAACTAAGTTTTATATATTTATACTTCTGAAGCAGTATTCAACAACTGTTATTACTTTAACCACATTTATAATTACCTAAGAACCTATTTTATAAGGTTTTGTGGTTCATAGACATTACTATGTTTTACATGAAGCATAAATAACTTTTTACCAATAGCATTTTTTAAAGTGCAATAAAAAGTATTTTGTAGGTTTTGAAGTAAAGCAAAAATAATTGAAAGTTATGTTTCAACAGCAACCTGTTGTTGCCATAAATGTGATAAAGTAATAGAAATAGTAGTTGTGAAATATTTTAGTTGTTGAATATGTTTGTGTTGTCATACTCATGTTGACTTTGATTTATTATTAATGATTGTGTTTTCATGTCAGGATTAGGTTTTTTATCAGTCAGAATCAATTTTTTTTTTCAATTTCCAATACTTTAGCAATAAAAACATCTTTACACAGAACAATACAACTTTATTTGGCCAAAGTGCATAAAAGAACAGTTAAACACTAAAATTCAAAACACATAAAAGGTCTAACAAGCATAAAAACAACAAAATCAAATAAAACCATAAATTGTCATTTTAACCCATTAGATGTGTGGCTGCATCATTTGTAAGAGAACTCACAAGGCATGATATTGTAAATGCTGGCATCATTACCAGTAAAAATGCACCTGCAGATATAGAAAAAGGGGAAAACACTAATTAACAAAATCCTTCTGATGGAAAGTTCAATTTAATATTATGATCAACTGTCAGGTCTTTGCTCTAATGCACGGGTGTCCAAAGTGCGGGCCGAGGTCCATTTGTGGCCCTTAGAGTGATTTTTTTGTGGCCCACAACTGCAGTTTAAGAATGGTATCATTTTGGCCAGCAGGCTTCAGAGATGGATGCAGACTTTCTGCAAATTCTCTGGTAATCCTTTTTTATATAATGTTTAGGTTTAACAGCAAATGGGATGAAAAACCATCTTCTCAAAATGAGCAATCTTAAGCAAAATACAATAATTTTACTGTAAGCTTTTTTATTATCACTTCATGGCACAAAGCATCAAAAACCTTTAATGATTTCAACCAGAAGGAGACTTTTGGATAATGATTCATTAAACTTGGCTAAATATTGCAGCTGATAAAATAATCATTAGGGAAATTGGACATTTTAAATGAATATAACGTGGTATCATCTACATACAAGTTGATCAACTTTATCAACCCTTCTATGAATGTGTTGTAGCAACTGATAGCTGAACATTTTTTCAGAACTTTGATCAGTTTTTTGGGCCGTCCATGATCCAAAAGCCTGATCGACCACCTTTTAAAAAGGACACTTATTCATATTATGCTTTTGTTGCTGAGAACAGACTAAAATGAACTTTCCAAACACAAGAAAACAAGAAATATAGACCCAAAAAAATCAAATAAATTATATAATTTTTAATGAAAAAAATTAAGCTTAGTGTTTGAGGCTTTTATTATTTTGGATCTACAACAATTTAAGGGGTGTCCTGCTCAGAGACACCACGAGATGTGCAATGACCAGGAATCGAACCCAGGACCTTTGGGTCTCAAGTTGGCTGCCCTGCCCATACACCATCTTGGTCCCCTGAGATAGTGTGCACTGACCCAAGTCAAAACAATCTAATAGAATAGAATAGAATAGAAACAGCCTTTATTGTCCCACGGATGGGAAATTCCAGTGTATCAGCAGCAACAGATAAAAAGATGAAAAGATTTAAAGATTTCACACAAAAGTTCCTAAATGTTAATAAACAACACAATATATAAGAAATAAGACAAACAATATCAATAATAATGTTCAATATGTATTGGAACATTGAGAATGGCAGACTATTTACAGTACAGTATTACAGGCAGAGTGTATGTTTAAGCAGAGGTCAGCATGTATTTAATCCTTATTGAGTTTGTTGGGAGCGGTGATGGTTGTAGAGTCTAACAGCTGCTGGGAGGAAGGACCTGCGGTAACGCTCCTTTGTGCATTTAGGATGCAGTAATCTGTCACTGAACGAGCTCTCCAGTTCAGCAACAGCTTCATGCATGGGGTGGGAGACGTTGTCCAGCAATGATGTTATTTTAATCATTTTAGCATCTCTATTTCAACAAATTAGGGTGGCACAGTGACTCAGTTGGTAGAGCTGTTTGTTGCCTCTCAGCAAGAAGGTTGCCGGATCGAATCCTGGTCAGGGGCCTTTCTGGGTGGAGTTTGCATTTTCTCCATGCATGCCTGTTTGTTTTATTTTTACTGAGCATCGGTTTCCTCCCACAAACCACAAACATGCATGTTAGGCTGACTGGTAACTCTAAATTGTCCCTAGGTGTGAGTGAAAGTGTGAATAGTTGTTTGTCTCGTTTGTCTCTATGTGTCCCTGTGACGGACTGGAGACCTGTCCAGGTGTCCCCCGCCTCTCGCACAGTGACTGCTGGATATGGGCGCCAGTGGCCCCTGTGACCCAAAAAGGAAGAAGCGGTTAAAGATGATGGATGGATGGATGGATGGATGGATGGATGGATGGATGGATGGATGGATGGATGGATGGATGGATGGAATTCAACAAATAATAATTTTAACCAAGTTTGGTGTCGAAAATTCTTAACCCAGTATGCTGAGTCAAACTGACCCCCAACCCTTCAGAATTCAAACCACCCAGGGTTGGCTCTCCAAATTTGACCCAGTTCGGGGTTATGAATGGGTTATTTTTAAACCCATCAGTTTTTAGTGTGTAGGTTCTGAATTGTATCATTTGTAGATTGTAACAAATGGTATTTTGTAGGTAAATTCAAAGCTACTTTTACATTTTGAGTACAAAAAGTCAAATTTAATGATATGGTCTTCAGTGTAATTTCTCAAGCACAGTTTACAGCTGCAGAACCAGTCATGACATGTGTTTTTTCAAAGTGCTGTATGTGCTTTATGTGCTTTATGTGCTTTCACTCACATCAGGAAACATTTAGAAAGATTGTCTACTTGATGTACAAACCTGTACTTTGGAAAGTAAAAAAAATTGGCCCCATTTTCCTTTTCATGAGGAAGAAATCATACAAATTATATTCTGCAGATAACAAAAGGAGCTCATTATGCAGTAAGTAATTACTATTGACAGGTGCTCACTGCCTGCATCACATCATTCAGGGTAAATTGTGCTTCATTTTCACATTTTAAATACAAAAACAGAAAGCCGTTTGTTTTCTTGTTTCCTCCATTTCAACTTTTTAATTAAAATGCTCTACTTTGGGAAATGCATGATTACTTGTTGGGTCTGAAGTGAAAATAATAACAGTTTGTCTTAGTTTTTACACTTCAATCTTCTATATATTTGGTATGAATGCAGAGGCAGCCTCCTTCTGCTGTTCTAAGTGAACAGGTGGTGTGTTGAAAGTTCAGGGCTGCAGAGAAAATCTGTGCTCAGGTGGTCAGGTCGGCAGCCTCGCCAACCAAATCATGCTTTATGGGAATAGAACTGGGCTTTTTTGTTTGAGCTCCAACAGCTTGGAATAAGGATGAATTAAAGACGAACAGTGGTGAGACAAAGACAGAGAGGCTTGATATTTTAAGGGCTCAAAGTCGAGACAGAGAAAAATGTACAGAATGGAAATGAGTTTCTTCCGTCCAGGAGGAGACATAGAGTATGTTGTTTTGTCAAAGCCAGTATCTTACCAGTTTGTCTTGTAATTGAAGCATCCATGGAGTTTCACAGAAAACCTTGAAAGGAACTTCATCCACCAGTGTCTGACCTCCAAACTGATCTTCAGTCTCTCGTCAGGGATTTTAACAATATTTAAAAAGACACAAAGTTTGTTTTCTCAGTCATCCAGGTATATAACAACAAAAAAGGTTGAATCATGTCATCTGGACTTCTTTTTTGTTAAAAAGAAACGTTTCGCCCCTCATCCAAGAGGCTTCGTCAGTCTGAGGCCTATATATTTAAAAAGCATAATTTAGACTTATTACTTAGCAATTTATTTTCTTACCCACACAGTTGAATTTTAGACCTGGATTATTGAGCATGGACTTTGGTGTTTTGAACCACTTTGGCATGAATGTCTCAGAGGAGTTGACAGGGGAGAGGGCGGGTCCCGGAGGTCGTCTTAGCACCAACAAACAGTTGTTTTTCCAGTATGGAGTATGTTGTTTCGGTGAATCAGTTTGTTTGGTGGCTCCTCAGATTGAAGAAGTCCTTTGGATGAAGGACGTAATATCTCAGCAAATAAAAGAAACAGTCCAGATGACCTGACTGAACATTATTGGATTTTTCCCAGGATTATTGAGCATGGACTTTGGTCTTACCCACAATAATTAAATAACTCACCTGGTGGCTTAATGGGAATTCCAATATATCTGAAATACCAAATAATAACATGAAGATGTTTCCTGCAGGTTGTTGTGCACGTAACAGATGAGAACGACTGCACACCTGAGTTCCTTCACTCCATCTACAGCAGAGATAACATACCTGAGAGCGTCGCACCTGGAACGTCTCTGCTCCAAGGTAACACATTCGTACGGATTGAACGCTCTGGTAAACTCTTTAACCTCCATCAGTGACCCCATCGAAATATTATGCAGGTGGTTTTTCTGTGTGTGTGTGTGTTCGTGTGAGGCGGCGCCATCTCTCAGCTGCGGGTGACTGGTGTGGATCAAACAGTCAAACTTCAGTGAGGCTTTGGGTTTATTAGGCAGAAAGCCAACAATACAACCTCACTCATAATTTTTCTTCTATCTTCATGAAAATCTGTGATGACACAAACTGCATCATCATTTTTACCTTAACCCTCTGGTTCTGGTCCATCAATCAGTCTTTAAAGATTTGTTCAAAGGTCTGAATACAGTTTCACAGCTGAATGTTTTAATATTATTATTTTAATATTTAAAACACATTATAGTCATAAGGAAACAACTTGTTGCTGCAACTGTTTGATCTCTTTTTTGGTCACATGGTTTATGTGGTAATTTTGGAGGCTGTTTGCCATGGATTACTAAGATTACAGACAAGCAGGTGTAGACGAACAGATGCTGGGATATATTCATCATTTAACACGGATTCCTCATTTTTCTGGACTGAATAAAACGTGCATTGAATTTAAGGAAATGTAACGTGAGACGTCATTTATGTTTGACCCATCAAAATGAATGCGGTCATTTATTTACAGAATCAAAATTTAACATCAAACATTTACATTAATTTGGCAAATTATGAAAATAACAACATAAGCAATCAATCAGGAAAAATCATACGGCCATGATTCTTCCGTTGCTGCACCACAGACATTTATAAACTGTACAATTATGATCTTTTACCCACATGAATGTGGGTGAGCATTTTACACAGACATTTCTAAAATATCTGGAAGAATTTCTACTTGATAGAAAAGTTTAAAGATGGAAAGAAGTTTAGAGGGAGTAAGATGGTATGTGAGGGAAATTAAGTGTTCACCAGAATCGACACTCTCCGGCTTTCTTCAGCTTTTCCTTACAGTACACTTAGGTGATGAAATCGGCTCCTTTACCTGGAGATGTCTCAGGTGAGATTCCGTTTAACGCACCCTTTCAGCATCTCAGTAGGATGCTGTTACTCGTCCGAAGTAATGGCGAGGCTCTGTTCGACACATATTCACCTCAGTGGAAAATGTTATAATCCCATGGAACTCGGAAGAGCTTTGTTGTCATGTCAGGAACTCCCACAGAACTCTAGCAACTACTGAACTCCAGAACTCTTAGAACTCCCAGAACTCTTAGAACTCTGAGTAGATCAGGAAGTACTGACATTTTAAAGACTCTTTCCCGGTTCACTTTTGGGAGTTGTCCATTGGTCAGAAACGACCAGACGGGGTGTGTTTTGTGACGTAAGAGGTTAGAGACAGCGAGAATTGTTATGAGACAGATCAGAAATGTTCTCACAGACAGAGAGAGTTTTGTTTTGGCGTGTTTCAGAAACAGGTGCAAAACATCTATATTTACGTCTGAGAGGATTCTAAAACATGACAGTTTTAACATAACAACTTGTTTTTCGTTTGACTCCAACCTTGGAACGCACACACTTGCTCATTCAAAGGCAGAAATCAGAAAATGCATAAACTCTGTAACAGCTTTTAACATGAGTTCTAACTTTGCATGAGAATAAAAATCATTACTCAGTTAATAAAATTGATTAGTTCACTGCAACATCTAAAATGGTTTGAACTAGGACACTTTGATTATCAACATTTGTAAGATAGTAATGATAATAAAAAGAGAGTGTTCTTTTCACTTGAATCTTCAAGAAAGAAAGTCTCAGGATGGGTGAACCTGTATTTATGGATTCAAATACATGAAATGACAGCTTCTGTCCCACAAGGTTCTTAAGGTCAAGAGTTTTGACCTTAGACTTAGTTTTGACGTAGGCCTAGTCCACTACACAGGAAACAAAAAGACGCTTAACTTAAAGGGACACTAACGAGACATAATGATGGGGTGATTGGAATTGGGAGCAGGTTGTCACATATTAACCTGTATGAGCCTAAATTTTCATCTTTTGAACACAGACAAGACTGAGTTTTAGTTTTTGGACCTGAGCATCTTAGGAATTAATTTTTCAGTCTTTCGCCCTCCTTGGATGGCATTAATCTGGCCTCCAGCTCTAATGTTAAAAATCTTGGTGTTATTTTTGATCAGGACATGTCTTTTATCCCCACATTAAAAATGCTACAAGAACTGCCTTCTTCCACCTGCGTAATATCACTAAAATTAGAAACATCTTGTTTAAAAATGATGCAGAAAAACTGATTCATGCATCTGTCACGTGTAGACTGGACTATTGCAATGGTTTATTATCTGGGTGTCTAAATACGTCTTTAAAAAGTCTTCAGTTGATCCAAAATGCTGCTTCCAGAGTCTTAACTGGAGTTAGTAGGAGAGATCATATCTCTCCAGTTTTAGCTTCTATCCATTGGCTCCCATTCAAATACAGAATTTAATTCAAAATCTTACTTTTTAACCTACAAAGCTCTCAACAACCTAGCTGCATCTTATATTTAAGATCTTATTATTCCATATTTTCCTAACAGAGCACTTTACTCTCAGACTGCAGGCTTACTTGCGGTTCCTAGAGTTGCCAACCTCAGAATGGGAGGAAGATCTTTCAGTTATCAGGCTCCACTCTTCAGGAACCAACTTCCAGTTTGTGTCCATGAGGCTGACACATTGTCCAGCTTTAAGACTGGGGTTAAGACTTTCCTTTTTGATCAATCCTATAGTTGGGGTTGACTTGTTATGCTGCTATAGACTTAGATTACTAGAGGACAAATTGACCTCATTTCCTTAAATTAATTGTTAAAATTGAATAGTTTTCATTTGATGCCATTTCTATCTTAACATGTGATTCTTGACCTGCCATTGTGTATCTGTTCCTCTCAAACCCAGCTGGTCGAAGCACATGGACGCTTGTCCTGAGCCTGGTTCTGCTAAAGGTTTCTTTCTCATGAGGGAGTTTTTCCTTTCCACTGTCGCCTTCATGCTTGCTCAAGATGAGTTCTGTGATGGAGTTAAACTCAAAGCAGTCTGCTCCTCAGATAAATAATGTTAAATTATTATTTTTTTATATTTGAATGTTTCTGTTCAGTGCTCTGAGACGACTTCTGCTGTGACTTGGAGCTTTATAAATAAACTGAACTGAATTGGTTTTCTTGTTCTACCATTTTCTTCCCATCTTTTTATTCTAATCCTGCTTCTAAATGTTCACCTGTTTCCCTCCCACATAACGTGATCTGTCTCTCTTCCTTTCTCTTCTATTTTAAATTTTATTTACTTATTTATTTATTTTTTTACAGTTCTCCTCTTTTTTTGTCTTTGTTTTATGATCTTTAGTTCTGGCTCGTGACTGTGACTCAGGCGTGAACTCCGAGCTCTCCTACTTCATTCCAAGCGAGGATTTTGACATCACAGCTGGAGGCGTGGTCAGCCCCGCCCGTCGCCTGGACTACGAGCGGCCCAATCACATCTATGAGTTTGTCGTCATCGCCGTGGATGCAGGAACGCCTCCTCGCACTGGGACAGCCTCCGTCCGCATCCGTGTTGCTAATAGCAACGACGAAGCGCCAGTCTTTTCTCAGAGCGTGTAAGATGTTTTCTTTGCTCTTCTCTGTTTTAAAATTTGATCAACTTTAACATTGTTGATTTTATTTGAATTAATAACGAACATCGACAGTCTGCTTCTCTCAGTTTCACTTTTTTCTGACTCCGTCGCCCACAGAGTCAATCTGCTAATTAAAGTGGGTTTTAAATCAGAATCTATTTTCAAACCTGCTGCGTTTCTCCATCTGTTTTCACATCGTCTTGATGTCGTTTCTCACTCCGCTGTCTTTTTGGTTCACACCATTATTTTGTTTAATTTTAACCTGCTTTTTCCTACTTTGCTGTTACTTTTAATTATTTCTTGTGTTTTTCCTTTTTTTTTTTTACTTATCTCCTACAATTCGTATTTAATACAATGAGGTTCTTTAAAGTAATTCTAGTTTCCTTCGTCAGTTTTATGATCTCTCCCTCTGATTGTCTTATCGCTCGCCACCAAACACAAAGGTGACCAATAGTATTTGTGTGTGTGTGTGGTGGTGGTGGGGGGGGGGGGGTCTTTATAAACACAAAAAACTAACTCAATTAATTTGACAGATACTGACTTTAAATTTTGAGTGGTAGTACCTGAGACTGATTCTCAGCACTATACCTCTAAGAAATATTTTCTTTGCCAACAACTGTTGAAATCATCTCTGTCTGTCTGTTAGCAAAATATATCACAAACCACTCGATGGAGGTCAATGAACTGTTCAGAAAATAAATGTAACTGTATACTGTTTAACTTGAGTCAGTCCAATTCACAATGGCTGCCACAGCCAGATGACCTTAAAACACCAAAATGGCTGCTCTTCTGTTAGTTTTGCAGATACAGAGCTTACATTTGTGGTGGTGGTAGCTAAACGTTATACACAGCACATACATGAGTGTAACATCTTATTGCATGAGACTGCAAAATGTTATGTTCAAGATTTGACCAAAATGACTACAACGCCGTTATTTCCTAACTTAAGATGATTTTAGTCTAAAGTTCTGTTTTGAAAGGTGGTGGATGATATGCAGTTCATCAAAGAATGCTAGGCATTTATTATATCTGTTTATTTTTAATTTTATTTTATTACTATTAGGTCTCTATAGAAAACTCCTAAGCAGCTGTGCTTTGTTTTATCAGCTATAAGACCTTCCTCAGTGAAGACGCCGGTCCTGACACTTTGGTCGCTATCGTTCATGCGAATGACCCCGATGGGGACGGCGTCTCTTATGCCATCACCGGTGGCAATGAGGACAGCAACTTCCAGCTGGACAATCAGAAGGGTAAGACAAATTCTACTTTCAAATAAAGTATGCTTGTTTGTATCTCAGCACACATAAGGAGGCCATCACACTCAGATAACTGCCGGTGAGAGATAATGAGGAGCAACTCATTAAAAACTGAATAACAGTCATTGACATCTTCCAATACAACATCCCATGTTCTGTTCCTCAGACTCAGTTTGCAGCTTCTAATAATTCTGTCTACAGTGACTACTCTGAATTTTGTAATTATTGTAAAGTTCAGTAGCAACAGCCTTACACGAGGTTCACCCAGTGGTTTATGAATCATAACAGCTCCTGTGAATTTGTTCTGATGTTGTCCGCATCCTGGCCGACAATGGCGACCCTGGTTAGCTTCTGGCATGTGCTCGTATGTGGCTGGCAAATCCGAACTTCATCTTAAATATTTGGTCACGCAGTATAGCTGGCCCGCACTATTGTAGGTGTAGTTGTAGGAGGGTTTAGGTCGGTTCTTGCGAATTTGTCATTTGAGGTCTAATTTGGAAAGGCGAGAATTTTCAAAGTTTGAGACGCCTTTCTTGACATTTTGAAAACCAAACTGATCTTTGAGCAGCCTCCTCCCACTCTTCAGTGGCCAAACTACACACAGTCAGATTACGTTTGAAGACGTCCTTATAGCAAAAGGTACTGCCCTCCAAAGTTGCGCTTCCCACTCGAAAGCTGAGTAGAATACGCTCTTTGGTAGTCCACAGTCTTCTATTCACTGAATGTGGCCGCACCATGGCAGTTGTCCTCTCATCAGTAGGGCCTCCATTCCGTGGGTATTTGAGCGACGAACAGCATCGCCATTTGCAACACGATCCTGCCATTTCATGCACAAGCTGGAACATAAGCATTTTATGTGAAACGCGTCCAGCCTTCTAATGTCACCATTATACTGTACAAGCACCAGGTTTCAGAGGTGTATAAAGGATCGTCAGTACTATGGAGTAAACTGTGAGCGTCGTCTGCAGTGCGATGTTGTGACATTTCCGCAAGTGCTGATTTAACTTGCTGAAGGTGGCAGCAGCTCCCGTTATACGCGCAGGGATTTCAGCCGCAAGACGGATGTCCGAATTTGTCCTAACAGAACAGTGAGACAAACCAAAGAACACAGAGCAATCGTGCAAAGGTTGCACTCCCCTTTAACCCTGTCAATGTTTTAAATTTCAAGATAATGATGTAGAAAAGTGCTCGTATCCAGCTCTGCCTCTATTCCTTAAATACCTCAACTTACGGAACAGTAAGGACAAGAAAAAACATAATCCTTACACGTTTACACAAGCGTTCAGCATTCAAAACATTCACATTTGCACACAAACACAGCAAAGTGCCTGTTTCCATGGTAACAATTGTTTGGGGATAAAGTATGGTCGCATTAACGAGGCCAGCATAACCTGTGACTGACATGCACACACAATGCATAAATTTAAAAAATACATGAATAAACTCACATAATCACCAGAGTTTTTACACAAACTGTCCATCTGCTCATCAGCGTCCCCAAAGTGGTTTGCTCATGTCAATCCTGGTTTCCTTTCCGTGTCAGAATTAATTTGGATTAAATGGGTAATATTTTGTTTCTGGAAAAATAAAAACATGTTAGTGTTGTTTCAGAAATGGACAAGGACCAGTCATCTTAATGTCAATATTTTAGGTAATAGTCTTTAGGAATCACCTTTGCTTTTTGAAATGTTACTTTAAATCTAAAGAAAGAAAATTATTTTTAGTATTGTTCATCTACTTCAAGAAATAAGAACAACTTAAGTTTTGGGGGGAAACTAAACAGCCACTGGCCAAAAGGATGGCCCAGTACAGAAGATTAACAGCATCAGGCCAGGACTCTGCGGTCTACACTCATCTCCAGGCCAGCAGTCACTCTTTCAGGGATGAAGATGTTCACATCCTTGATAGAGAGGAACGTTGGGTTGGGAGAGGAGTGAAGGAAACCATCTTTGTGAAGAGAAACCATTCATCATTAAACAGGGGTGGAGGCCTCCATGTTCAACTGTCCCCCTCTTACAATGCTGTGATTGCTAGTATCACTCAGCCCTCTGTGAATAGTAAACAGCCATCAGTGTGCTAATGATCCATTGTTAGGCTGACGGTCCTCCTTGATCATGTGATCAGCTGGTTTTGGTTGTCAGCAGCAAAACTGGTTGATCCACTCGGAGAAGGTGCTATTTAAGAGACTGAGCTGAATACAGCACCTCAGACTGAGGAAGTCTCTCGGATGAAAGATGAAACGTTTCTAAATTGTTTTTTTGTTGTTGTTTTTTTAATGTCCAGAGGACCAGATTTAACTTTTTTGGATTTTTCTACCTGGATTATTGAGCATGCACCAGGAAACTTAAGTTTTTGTGACCAGTTATCGGAAACCATATTCCTAAAGATCTTGTTTAAAAGATTTTTTGTTGTTTGTCATGTGTCGCCCCATCACAGGTTCATCCTTTAAGACTAGGAGTAATTTTTTATGTCTTAATGATTCATAGTAGATCAAAGTTAAGTGGTTAAAAAAACTAAAATGTCTAGTACTCCACTGAAAACAATACATGAAGAAGCAGATAACGTTCACATAAATTTTGGACTTTCAGAAATTCTGGAGAACAATTGTTTTACACCACTTTAAAAGGTGCAAAAGCTCAACTCTTTGGAGATTTTAGGGGAAATGATTGATGAATCAAGACTTTTGCACAGTGCATTGAAGTGTGCAGAGTTTTCAGAGAAACCAAAAACAGTTTTGATTCAAAACAATTTTTTCTCCTGCTGCTTTTCCATGAAGTTTTTCATGTTTCAGATGAAACATTACATCACGGTTAATATGACGTGAATGCATTACAAAAATGTAAGGGAAATCAAAGTTTAAGTGTTTTTATTAAATTATCACTTTGATCCAGAGACCTCGTTTGTGTTAAATCCTTTAGAAATGCAAACCTTGATGTGTTTCCATAAATATATTATAATACTGATCCAGCTGTCCCTGTCCTCTGTTGTTGGGAACTGAAGCCAGCAGGAAGTGTTTTATGGAAGCTGCCATGTTGTATTTTTGGAACCAGCATCTGTGCACAACACAGGCTGAACCTAAGTCATGTGGCTCTCCTCTTCAGCTCTCATTGCCCCCTAAAATATATATATTATTTTCTTCAGCTCTGTTTTAACACACCTTTCTGAGCCAGTTCTTTGTTTCAACAGACAGTACTTTGATATACAGAAGTTTTATCACCCAGCATGCACTGCTCCATTGTGCACATGCACCCATGAACAGACATAAATGTGATCATTTGCACATAAATGATACATTAGGGCTCTCAAATACACACGTGCACACACATACACCCACACGCTCGTGCAGCAGATGGCCTTTGGCGTGCTCGACTGTTCTGCTTTGTCACTTCAAAGCTCTGTGAAGTATTTTCATGTAGATGTGACCCTCCCAGCATCCGTGTCGATGTGCACGTTGCAACCAAAGCTGCTTGTTTGTTTGCGCTGCTTCTCTGCTGTGTTCATGCAGAAGCGATAGTTAGCGCAGAAAGATGAAATTTTGTTCTAGACTCGAACTGGAGCTTGAGCTGACAGGATGTTGACCTACAGAGCAGAAAACGGCACAACGCTGCTTTCATGTACAGAGAGAAAATGTTTTTAAGCTCAACGTGTCAGCTGTCTTTAATACTCGCCGACATGATTCTCGTCGTGGATGTTGAGGCACAGAAAACACTTGTCTGTAAAACTTGGCCTTTTTTGCTCACTTTTTTGAGTTGTCTGATGACAGCATGAGCGCTAGCTTTTGGGTGTTTTTCTTTAAATCCGTCTTTGTGCTGGGGAATATTTGTAATTTTGTTCTTCTCCAAAGGTGTTTGAATGTGATGAAAATAACAATGTCTGTGAGCATTTTAGTGTTTTAGAGAAAATATTTAAACTTTTCATGCAAATTCATACGAATGCAAAATGACCTCTCATATGTGTATTTTTTGCTCCAATAAAATGTTTTCACTTATGTTTGGATAACTTTAGAGGAAAACTTCCTTTAACAATTAAAGTCCTATTCCTTATTAAAGGAATGCATATCGCCCGTTGCTTTTAATGCCATAAATTTATTCTAATATAATCTTGTGTTGAGAAATGACAGTTACAGCCATTTTGGTAAATCCTTGAAAATAACATTTTGCTAAATCTTGTACAATATTTCCTGATGCATGCTGAATAAACCAGGTAGAAACATCAAAAAACGGTAAGTCAGGTCCTCTGGACAGATTCTGGTTGAAACGTTTCATCTTTTATCCAAAAGACTTCGTCAGTCTGACAAAGTCTTTTGGATAAACAACGAAACGTTTCAACAAGAAGAATCCGTTCGGGGGAACTGACTTAACTTTTTTAGACTTATGCAATATTGTGATATCTTGCATGTTTTGTTAGTGCTTAGAGTACATGTTTTGAATGACTCTCAGCTACTACCACAAATATTTGTAGCTTAATATCTATGACATTTATTGAGTTATGGCTACTCGTAATTTTTACTGAGTTTTTTTTTTAGGCTAATAAATAATTAATAAATTGTTGTGCCAGAGTTTCAATATAAAAGGCACATACTCAAGGAATCACACAAGATATATAAAAAATATATAAATAGAGAATATTAAAAAATAACAGAGGTATAAAAATATTAATAAATCAATCAATTAAAAATACAATCAATCAAAAATACCATCAATCACTCAATCAATCAGTCAATTAATCCATTCCATCCATCCACCCAACACACACACACACACGATACGTCGTTCACCTACAACTTCGCAGCGTTCTAAATAACTGCAAGAAAAACAAGACTCTGATGATGCAAACCTCAAGTATAAGTTCTATAAACTTGTTTCTAACAACTCTGTACGTCTTAGCTGACAGCCACTGTGTTGATATTTCTGTACACAGGCATCATAAAGCTGCGGCGGAGTCCTCCTCCGAGACTCAGGGGTCCACAGTACGTCCTCAACATCACAGCCACGGATGATAATGCGTCTGGTGGACCATATCCACTCAGCAGTTCTGCGCAGGTCATTGTTGGGATCAATGACATCAACAACAACAAGCCGGTGTTTGAGGAGGTGATAGAATTCATCTCGCTTTATTCTGAGTTTAAAGAAAATTATGTATTTAGTACACTTTCATATTTTTGACTGTGGTATTATTGCCCTCAGTGTCAGAACTACAACGCAGCAGTTCTGGAGAACCAGCCACCAGGGACGTTTGTTCTGAGCGTCCAGGCCTACGATGCAGACATGGGAGTTAATGGAGAGGTCAAATACGGTATCATGCACAGGGATGGTGTGTCGTCTGGATTTGAAATAAATCCTGACACCGGTGAGCTCTACAGAAATGTTTAACCTCAGAACCTTTTGTGTCAAAATACACCCAAAATCCAAAAAAGACTGAAATAAATTTACATTCATTGTTTTTGCATGATAGGGCACAGCCACAGATAAGAAGAAACACATCGTATAACTGGTTGCAATGGGATTTCTGTATTTTATCAGGTGTGATCACAACAACGGGGAGTTTTGACCGGGAACGTCAGAGGGAGTTCACCCTTTCTGTGACGGCCACAGATCAGGCCGAAGAACCGCTGATCGGAATCTGTCAGATCACAGTGCTGATCTCCGACGAGAACGACAACGACCCCAAGTTTGAAAACAGCCGTTATCAGTGTAAGAGCCGCTGTCATCACAAGTTTACTTACTTTGACAATCATCCATATTTCCATCCATTTTCTTTATCCGCTTCTTATGGGGGTCGAGATGGTGTAGAGGCAGGGCAGCCGGCTTGGGACCTGAAAGTCCCAGGTTCGATCCCCAGTCACTGCATATCACGTGGTGTCTCTGGGCAGCACACCTCATCCCCAAAATGCCCCCCGGGCGCTTTCAATAGCTGCCCACTGCACCACCTGGTGGTGGATGGGTTAAATGCAGAGACTAATTTCACCATTGTATGGAAACATATTGTGATGACATTATTATTATTATTTTCCTGAGGAAGAGGAGCGGAGGTGGTGCCCATTTCCAAGAGTCATGTGCTCAAGAGCCAGTGTAGTTTGATAATCAGCCTAACTTCATTTGTTGGAATCCAAGAACATGTGCTTCTATTGTCTACCACACAAACCTTCTTTTACATGTTTCAGGACAAACTGGAAGGAGTTTGAAGTAAAAGGTGAACAACAGACTGTAGGTTTGCTGTCACTGCCGTCTACTAATCTGCATCGTTGTAATTCTGGAAAGCTTTTAAGGCTGATGAAATATTCGCAGCCAACCCCCATGGGTCGCTGTTTGTTTACGATGTGTGCAAATGTGTGTTTTGATAAGCGTCTTGTCAGAAGTTCTGCACGTCTGATTACAGTAACGCACAGAGCGTCTCATTAACTATTTAAGAAGTAGATCTGAATGTTTCTGGGACATGCATTCATTTTCAGCTGTTTGGTGTGTCTGTGTTGTTTGCAGGGGTTCTCCTGTAGATTATTCTTCTTATTCAGCCAATTTGTTGATATTCCTTAAGCTCTCTTCACATACAACACTGTGCAAAGGTTTTAAACTTTTGGAAAGGAATGATAAGCAGCTTCTAAGTGTTTTTTCTTTACCTTCCCTGTAACATTCGCCGTTTCCGTCTCGTGCAGAGCAGTCTTTGCTGTGAAGTTAACTCTGTCCTCTGGCAACAGAAACTACTTTCAGATGTCTATGAACATGAAAACAATTTAAATTCAGTACAAATTAACACTTTGGGAAAATATTGGCATTTTTCTGTAAACATTTGCAATAAAAAGGGGGAGAAGTTTGATTTCTAATTGAAGATTTTATTTATACCTTTATTTTACCAGGAAAGAAATCCATTGAGATTATTAATCTCTTTTGCAAGGATGTCCAGGGCAATGTGCAAGGTGGCAAACAAGCCATTACAAATAAGGATGCACGATATTGGATTTTTGGCCTGTATCCGATATGCCAATATGTTAAAACTTATTTGGCCGATAATCGATGCCGATATTTTATATAATTGTCAGAACATAGTCCTCTTATTTAGTCTTATTTGCTACAAAATTTATGTAACAGCTGTAAGAGCTGGTGACATGTATTCAGTAACAGCCATATGATATGCATAGCACTTTAACTTATATTAAATGAAAAGTGTTAAATGTTATTTATTAGCATTAGTCACCTGCAATGCTGTCTCTCTTGTGGAGGCTTGTTCCAGTTTCCTAGCTGCAGTGTGGGATCCTCTGCACTCCTGTGCATGAAGGACAGACTTTTTAACTTCAAAGTTTTTGATATCCATTGTGCTGTAAGACTAATCATGCTAACGGGGCTAACACAACGTTCAAATGTCTGTGGTAAAACTCACCCAAGTGTTATCGGCTATTAGCTTCTCAATGATGTCGGAAATGACAGCTTGTAACTCGGGTAACGTTACATGGAAAAAAATACTGCAGACTGGGGGCGATGTAGCGAGGCTCGACGTAGCCCAAAAATCTTTAGAATCCGACATCCTCAACGAAAAAAACTTCCACACCACCGACATTTTGAATGTTCCTCTCCGTCGTGAGATCAGGTAGGCGCATGACGTCATCACGTTGTGCTGCCGCTGCAGGCATCCTTGTCACTGGGATGTCATACAAAACAGCATATTTTATATCGGTGAGTTATTTTGATGGAATGGCCAATGTCCGATATTGAACTTTAATGCCAATGTTGGCCGATACCATGCCGATAATATTGTGCATCTCTAATTACAAATGCTTAATGCAATACTTAAATGCAACAGTCTTAACAAGTAAAAGCAAGATATCAGACAAAGTACCAGTAATGCAAATATTTTTTGAGGATAAATTTGTTATTTCTAAAGAGGTTTTAAAAGGGCCTAAAATTTGAATGAACAGATGAGGCAAGTTTAGTGTTTTTGTAATCTAACTATCAGTAAATATTAGGAAGAAAGTATTTAAATTGTATCTTAATTTAAACCCTTTTGTGCCATTTTTGCTGCACATTTTGCTTCAACTCATTGTGTTTTCAATTATATTTCTATTATTCTTGCACACATAGCTCTGCTATTTTTTGTCCCAAGAAGCAGAAATATAGGTGCAAAAATACCTTAAATTATCATTTTATCACCGCCTGTCTTTAAATTTGAATTAATTTAACACAGCTACGTTCAGATGATTAAAATTAACATTACATTTATTTTAATTCATGAGTGGTTAAATAAAAAAATCTAAACTAGATCATCCTGATCCAACTGTAACTGTAAAACTCTGTTTGACTCTCCTGGTTGTTTTTCTCTGTGCATCATATTAGACTCAGCCAGATCTGATGTTCATTTGAAATTTACCCACTGAGCTCCACAAACAACATTCTTATTGACATAATGCCTGAAATGCAGTATTACAGAGAGAAATGCAGCAGCCGACCTCCTTTACTCTCCTTGTTTTTGTCGTTAGATCAGCGCTGACACGCATCACAGTCAGCAGGATTGGAGGTTATATTCATAAATTTAAAAATGCGTGTGTTGACTTTGCAGAGTGAGACCCAGAAATGACAAAATGAGGTGACAGACTGCTGACGCATCACAACGCTGTGTTCCCATTATTATAATATCTGCTTACAATCCCATAATATATTGTTACACGGTGTTCAGTCAAGTTTATTAAAATTCTGATTTCCTGGTCTAGAGCAGGCTTGAGCTGATGCATCATGGGTAACATGTAACTACTGTACCTGTTTCTTATTTTAAATCTTCTGCTTTTCTAAGACTTCCTGAGAGAGGACACTCCAGTCGGGACTAGCTTCCTGCGGGCAGCAGCGCACGATGACGACCAGGGGAGCAACGCGGCTATTACCTACTCACTGTCCAATCAGAAGCCAGCTTACCTGCACATCAACCCCAGCACCGGCTGGATTTATGTCAACCACCCCATCTCACAGGTCAGAAACACACCAGCCTACCCCGCAGCATTTAGGAATCACATGTTGCTGCTGAGGTTGTACTAATGTTTATCTCAATAGTTTTAAGTTTATAACCAGATTTCTACAAGCCAGAGAGTTAAATTATCACTATAAATATGTTACAAATGAGAGGGAGTGGTGGCGCAGAGTGTTGGGGAATTTTTGGTTCAAGTTTATGGATGATTTTAACTACTATGGCTGAGAATGTTATCTCTGCCCATGAACCATATGTTTGGGTTAGCAGAGAGAACTGGATAAGGAGCTGGGTGAGGCAGCTGTTGCTCCAAGGTCACCTCGGAGTCTGTGAACTTGGCGGAACTGATAAGTGTATAAAAACAAGCTGCACACACTGCCCGGGGCAGATTCTTGTGACTTGGCTTCATGTGTGCACTTCCTGTGTATCTGTGTAACCTGTCCTGAATATCTGGCTCCTTTTGAGTAAGTGAGATAAAGCGAAAATATTTTTTCTCCAACACTGAGGTTAGTAAAGGTGAGCCTGTGATCAGAAGGTCGCCGGTTCAACTCCCAAGACTGACATCAAAATGTGGGCAGGAAAGGTGAAACACCCACACCTGCCAGTGCTTGCACCCTCATTTGCCCTACTCTGGACCCTTGAGCAAGTTGTTTTGTTCTTCTGTTTTATGTTGTTATTAAAGTTGAATAAAAAATAAGAAAAAAATCACTCTTGGTTTGGCTTAAACTCAAACTCGTCACTTTACAAATAATTTTCTCCCTTTCTACTTTGTGAAAAATGAGAACATTTTAGCAATCTACTAAAACAACCTTTTTAACTTTCTATCTTATTCCAACAGTATTTGGTGCTTTTCAGATCGAAGCAGTTTCTCCATAGTTACCTAAAGTTTTCCTGCCTTTATTTAAATTTAGCTGATTTCTTTTCTGTATTGTTCCTTGCAGACGTCCAGGATCAACCAACAAATCGTAGCATCAGATGGAGGAAACCGCAGCAGCTCGGTGGAGCTGACTGTTATCATCACCAACGTCCACAACCAGCCGCCCCAGTGGGAGCAGCCCGAGTACTGGGTCACTGTGCCAGAAAACACCATCCGAGATGCCAAGATAGTGGTGAGTCAAATCTGATGGTTTAAAACAAATTAAATTTTTTTAATGTTTGAAATTTGGTTGAAGCCACTTATCATTTTGTCCGTTGGTCCGAAGTTTCAGATGCTCCAACCTTCTCAAGATGTTTTCCAAAAGTTGAACAGTCTCACATTGAGTCTTGAAGTTCATTTAAGTATACACACATTTTCACGGTGTTGAAGGTCATATCTGTGTTTTGTGTGTTTAGTTTTTTTCTGTTTGTTTCGGTGTTACTTGTGTTTTAGGTTCTCGTGGTTCCCTCTGTCAACCTTTTCAGTGTTTTTCCTCTGTGTGCCACCTTCACCTGTTCCCAATCCTAATCACCCCCAGGTGTTCGTCATGTTGTCTCATCAGTGTCTCTAAATATCGTGACATTTTGTTTGTCCCTCGTCTGTGGATTGTGCTTCCCAAGCCTTCATGTTCAGCTTCCTCTGTGTCTTCCTAATTTTTCAAAGTTTTGCTGCCATGTCAACATTTTGTTCCTCCATGTCTGTCTGTGCCCTGGGTTCAGCTTTTCACTAAACATGTTATTGAATTTGAAGTTTAATGACAGTTGAAGCATAGGAAGCTTAAAAAAAACCATCAGAGCAGGACTTTTAAATTCAATATACTAGAGTATTATTTTTTCTGAGTATTGTGCAAGCTAAATAAAATCATTACCCTGATAAATTTAATATAATTTCTCAGGATAGCTGACATAAAAAAAAAAACATTTCTTGTGTTTACCAGATTTTGATAAAGGTCATAAACTCAAGATTTTAAAAATGGAACTGTTTGGAAATAACTTTACAGTGACTGATTGTCTATGTTGCTCGAGTTTACTAATTATTTTAACACGTATTTAAAAATATTACCTGCTATTGGTCAAATGTGAATTCATTAAAAACATTTTTGTTGAGAATTCGTTCAAAAAGCATAGTCTCTGAATCGGAGAGAAGCATATAACTGTAAAGAGCTGACACCAGCTGAAACTAGGCCAAACAGGAATACAGCATGATGACATAATGAATATTCTAATTCATGCGTGGCATTGTCTATTGACATTTAGCGTCTTTCCCGGAGGCTCTCCATGGCTGCTTTCCATTAAAAGTTGTTAGCAATAGTGTACCTGACTCTTAATTTAAACTGCATTATTAAAAATAAAAAAATCAGATGGCTCTAACAATAAGGACAAGGCTCAGTTTAATTAAATGCATTCATGGAATATAACAAAGCTCGAAAGTTAAGCAATTATAAAATTACCTTTTTTTTTTATTTATTTAAATCAGAAATTGGTTGTCTTCATTTTGTTTCTGGTTGCTCTGTGACTTCTGTAAAGTTTGCCTTAAAGGATCTGAACAGGAACTAGAGCTTCTGCTGATCAGTTTTCGGAGCTCTCGGGTCTCGTGTTTGGCAGCAGACGCTTAAAAAGAGGGAATATTTAAACCCAGTTGTTCTCCTGCTGCAGTCGAAACGCTCTCTTTCATTTTACATCCTTCTTGAGGCCTTTGCAGGGCACCCTGAGGAAGTTGGAAACACTCTTTCTTCCTTTTCATCCAGCTCTCCTCCTTTTTCCGCTCATCCATCCCTCCCTCGTTCTCCGGCTCTGTGTCAGCGCGTTTAGTCGAGCCCTTCCAAACATTTTTTTTTTTTTTTTGCTGAGTAAACAACAAACCTGCCCTGAGTCTATCTCACCTGACTCACTTCAACCAACACTCGCAGATTGCTTATAGACCTCCAGGTTTTTTTGTTTTTTTACCCCCCTCTTTTGATCCCTCCATCCTAATTTGCTCTCTTTTCCTAAGCTGCCGGTTTAGAAGGTGGAGTTTTCACCCTCCAGCTGCTCGATTTCATGGCGGTTAGTCACTTTTCAAATAGTTGCTGGGCGTGTGTGCATGTGTGATTGCGTGTGCGCTTCGGTGTGTCGCTGTGCTTCTTTTAGAGCCGGCACTTTTTTCTTTTTTTTTTTTTTTTGAAAAGCCTGAAAACGCTGGTGATGGTTGGAGGTTTTTCCACCCACAGCTCCATCTGTCAGAGATGATTGAGGAGAAGGAGAAAATTACACCTGCTGTCGGAGCATCACAATGGACTCTCATCACCTCCGAAAAACAGACATTTAATTACTGTGTTTAACCTGACAGATACCGTGTGATGGAGGGAGGAGGGACAGCGGTATGGTGGGAGGAGGGGGAGTCAAATATAGGAGAACACCTTTAGAAGACAGACCAACACATTGTGGATTTATTGACAACAAGAAAATACAGATTATAAATCTTTAAATCAGACAATAAAGTCCGATCAATGTGCACCTCTTTTTCTATAAGTACAAGAATTAAAGAGAAAGTTCTCCACAAAGTATTAAAAAAAGTTTGGATAAAATAAAATAAAAAAATTTAATTAGTCTTAGCATCAAAATATAGCAAGACCACTAAAATAAAACAACATTCTGGGACTTTCCTACTGGTACAGATGGTGTGATGTTAGAACATATTATTAGAATCAGCTGTGTGCAGAGACTTAAAAGTTACCATTGACCATTTATAAAGATAGTAATGATTGAAAAGTAGCGGTAAGAGCATTTTGACCACACACTTGGACCTTTTTTTAATTTTTATATACTAAAATCAAAACCAGAATCTGAAATGAAAACAAACGTATTCCAAATTCTTATCATATTGTTTAGTCCTGAGAAAAATGGAGAATAAAACAGATGTTGATCTTTTTTTTTTTTAAAGCAGAAACTAGATTATTAGTCGTAAAGTCAAATTTTATTTATAAAGCGCATTTAAAAACAACAGCTGTTACCAAAGTACCTTTATATTAATGCATCCTTGTAATATTGCAGTATTGTCTTGTGCCAATATTTAACAACTTTTGTTTTATTCTGTATTAAAAAATACATTAAGTTAGTCAAGTTTATTTGTGATTTCAGTTCAGAACTTTTATATGGAGGAGCCATGAACATGAATTAGTTTGGTTTCAATTTATGTGAACTTCACTTTGAGGTAGTTCCTGAAAAGAGTCATTTTCATAACACTAATATGAACAATATATTAATTCATTATTTATATAAATGAGCAAAAAAAAATGCAAGAAAATGGTGAAGATTTGCTGCTGGAAATCAGCATTTAATAGTTTGTGGAGCATCAACTCGACGTTAGCACCAGTCGAAGGCGAAAGACTTCAAGACTGAAATCCTGTTTTTTACAACATTAGATTCAAAAGTTTGCTTTGTTTTTATATAAAGTTCTAATCTTAATATCAGTTAAAACTGACAAACATGTAACGGAGTAAAAAAAATCTGTTAATAATAATTAAATCTGTGGAAGAGCTGGAGGAAGATAAAAGCACGCAACACTTGAGTAAATGTATTAAACTTAATTACCTTTTCATCACTTGTTAGATTCTTTTAAATTAAGATTGTAAGATTGCATTGTGTTTGATACATTAAGCCACCATTAACTTTAGTTGAATAATATGTATAATTAAAGTTGACAATCTATACAAATCACTCAGAGGTCTGAGATGTGTCCTCCTCCTCTTTCCTCCTTCATCTCCTCTGCTGTGTTAATTGCACCGAGGAGGAACTGTTGTTTTAAATTTAGCAGCCTTAACAAGGTCTGTAATCACATTGTTAACGAGCTACAGCGAGAAATATGATGCATAGGTGGAAGGTGGTGTGTGTTAAATCTCCATACCAATGAGATGGAGTCTTCTCTCATTCAACTTATAATAATTTCCACATCCGTTGACTTCCTCCTGCTTTCTTCCCCATCCTGTTTATGCTTTATGTTGCATATAGTTTTTTAAGCATAAATAAACTTTAAAACATTAAGACATTTTGTTGCGCGTTAGCTTTGGGTCAGATCTAAAAATTGTAAACGTGATGACATGAGTTAAAACGTGGTAAAACTCAGTGTTCATATACGTAAAAAGATTGTCACGATCTGGTGTTAGTTGAACCCAAAGTGCAGACAGAACGCCGGGAACTCGAAGGATAAGATAAGAATTGTAATTTGTAATAATTAAAAAGACAATATGGCAGCAACACACACGTATATCGAGGAGACACAGAGGAAGAACAGAAACATGATGCCATACAGTACAAGTCACCAACAGGGGAACAACGAGGAAACGCAGAATTTATAAAGACGCTAACAAGGAAATAATTACAAACACCTGGGGGAGGACGATGAGGAACTGGGGTAGCAGGAGCTGGTAACACGAGGGAAACCCACTGACTGGACTGGACAGATGGCGCAAGAAAAACATATAACACACAGATCCTCTCAATCATGTCTCTCAATCATAATGTCACAAATAATAAAAAACCACCAAAGCAAACTTGTGACAGAATGATTAGTGTGTGGAATGGAAAACGTGTTTTTATTTACTTTAGATCCAAAGAACTGGTTAAACTACAAGACATGTAAAGGGTTGGGAGCAGCTAATTATAGTGAGTTTTAGGCAGAAATAAATTAATGTAACTGTGGCGTGATTAACACAAATCAAACCTAAAGCTGTGTTTTCATCTGGTTTCACATAGATGTTGGTTTTCTCCTTGCAGTGGCGCATGTCAACGGATGGAAAATAGCAGGCATCAAGTGAGCAGGCAGATCTTGAAGCTGATGTGTTGAAAGTGGTAAAAATGGGCAAGCTTGTGGATTTGAAAGACTTCGACGGGGGGAGAAATTGTGATGTCCTGACAACTGCGTCAGAGCACCTCAGAAATAGCAGGTCTATTTGAGGCAAACGGTAAAGCGGTGACAGGGTCAGGGGCAGCAGCATGATGTATGGTGCTGTAACCCAAAACAGTTTGTCTTTGTGCACCGAACAAACAGCTTACTGAGACGCAACAAAGGCACATTATAGTTCGTAAAAAAATCTACAAATTACTACTAACCCCTTCGAAGTACACTTGAATATATGTCAACACACTGGTGTTAGATGCACTTTTAAAGATAAATAAAGCAATTAGGTTTACATCTGAGGTAGAAATACACTCA